ATGGCTTCCCACACCTCAGAGTTGCCAAGAATGGAAAAGGAATCAAAGCCAGAGTGGAAAAAGCTTGAAATCCAGCTCTGCCCACACCATGCTCTCCTATTAGAACTTTAACTCAATGAGGAACAACAAACCCTGTTACATCAAGGTACAGCTAAAAACTATCACTGGGAAAAGAGAAGAAAGCCTTTCTCTGGAAAAAGGCTATCTCTGGTAGCCATTGCTTCTGTCATTTGCTGTACCATCATGGCTGCCATGTTGCTATAAGATATGACAGCAGGGTCCCATAACGAGGACAGTTTCAACAGTTACAAATTTCCGATGGATGCTAGTCCTGGTTCCTAGTCTATTTTTAAAATTATGGAGACCTCAAAAACCTTATGAACAGCCAGGGAACACTGTCTGACACAGTGCTTGAAGATGAGCCCCCTCTAGTTTGAGGCACTCAAAATAAGATTGGGGAAGAACTGCCTCCTCAAAGCAGAATCTACCTTAATGGCAAAGATGGAGTTTTGACCCAAAGAAGAACCTTCATTTTTTGACGTAGCCTGACCCAAAATGAGAAGAAGCACTTACAAACATCTACTAATAACTGGAAAGTGGAATTTAGCTAGGGAAATTAGAAGTTGTTGAAAATGAAACAGAATGTATATCTTAGGCAACAGCAAGATGAAATGGACTGGTACTGCTATTTTTCATTAGACAATCCTATAATCTACTATGTTGGGAATGACAAATTGATGAGGAATGGTATTGCATTCAACATTAGAAAAACCATTTCAAGATTTATTCTTATGTATAATGCTGTCAATGATGGGATTATATCCATACACATGCAAAGAAGATTTACTTATTGTTCTAATATGTACCAATCACTAAAAAAAAACTGTAAAACTGAGGATTTCTACTAACTTCTGCACTCTCAAATTGGCCAAACATACAATGAGGATGTATTAAATACTTGGTGAATGGAATACAAAAGGTGGGAACAAAGGAAGCCTGGCAGTTGGAAATAAGGCTCTGGTGATCTGGCGATCACTTGACAGAATTTTGTAGCATCAATGATTTTATTCATTGCAAATACTTTTTTTAAAAAAAATAAATAGTGACTATGCATTTGGAGCTTGTGAAATACTTAGGAATCAAACTGACTACATCTGTAGAAACAGAGTGCTCAGTATCAGTCAGAAAAAGGTTAGGGTTAAATATAAAACAGGTAAGTTGTGAAATGATACCAAGATTAAAATTCATGAAAAAATGCAAAAGATCATTACAAAGACAAGGAAAGAGGAAAGGAAAGGGAAAGGGAAAGGAAAGGAAGGGAAAGGGAAAGGGAAAGGGAAAAGGAAAAGGGAAAGGAAAAGGAAAAGGAAAAGGAAAGGAAGAAAGGGAGGGAAGGAGAGAAGGAAAGAGGAAGGGAAGGAAGGA